ATTACTCCTACACTTTGCTTAAAGTAAGACTGAGACGCTTGATAATTGACTTTTACTCTCAGCTTTTAACTAAGAATTATTTTACACTTAAGTCCACTTTTAGCAGCATTCTTAAGAGGAATTCTAAGAAGTTTGATAAATACAGGCCCTGGGCTCAGAATGACACTTCAGAATAGTCCTTGGGTGATTCTATTATCTAGTACATTATCCTATTGGAAGACCCTTGACCTGTAGAATAAAGMTTTACTTGTTTTAAACAATATTTTTAGTAATGGTAATGCTAGTTAGTTTTAAGGGAAAAAAAGGAAACATTACTACCGATCAATAAAAAAGGGGAAAGAAACTGTCATGCAAACAATTGTTTAGCCTCAATGACCGACTTGTTTCACATCAGAATAAAACTTTCCTGCAGAGCCAGGCGACGAGAGAGCTTATGTTTCATTTGCTCTGGCAGAATGTGTCTGGCCTTCCTCCTGTTCTAGCAGATTTCCACTCAGCCAAGCCGGGGTCTGGGTTTATCTGGCGGGAGTTTGATAAGACCGAGAAGAGACGTGCCTCAACGGCATTACATCACACGTTTGGGCATCCTTGATTGGTCCAGTTACATAAAGACACTTTGATGCATGTTTGCGTTTCAAACTATGAAACCGTTATGAAGGTTCAGATTAATTGTGTCTGCAAACATTACATCTAATATAACCAACTTTCAGTGTTGTATAAAGTACCACAAAGGGATACTTGAGTAAAAGTACAAGCATCTTACCAAACAATTACTTTGGTAAAACTTAAAGTCTCCTTTAGGAATATTACTTAAGTAAAAGTCTTAAAGTATCTGACAATTTTTGTACTTAAGTATTAAAAGTAAAAGTATTGATTTAAAATGAGCAGTTAGGTTTTCTGTAATGACATTTATTAGGAAAAAATGCAGAAATGACTAAATCATATTAAAATAATTAATTTATGTTAAATTTAAGATGCACTAGTCCAGCTGTTTCAGTTTATATCCATACATCAAGGCTGCACAAACCTTTTCCCCAAAATGAAAATCTATCTGAGGGCTGCAGCCAAATGCAATAATATTAATTCATGAAATACAAATACTTCTTAAGTACAGTCCTTTTATTTTAATAATTATGTCCTGCTGGAGTGTGACATGATTTGTTTGTGTACAAACTAATACGGTATCAGAATTTTATATATTTATACTTCTCATTCAACCACAAGTAATTTCACTCTATCTAGGAGGCACAATTTATATGGATAGTATTTATTTTTTACAACAACAAGCTGGAATGAAAACAAGCAAAAATGAAATAAAAGTAACGACTTTCTACTTCTTGCCTTTTTAAAAAATGTAAGAAGTAAAAAGTACAGATAACTGTGTGAAAATATAAGAAGTAGAAGTAAAAAATAGGCTGAAAAATAATTACTCAAGTAAAGTACAGATACCCAAAAATTCTACTTAAGTACTGTAAAGACGTATTTGGACTTAGTTACTTTACAACTCTGCCAACTTTTAGGTTCCCACAAATCACTGGATATATTCTATTGAACAAAGTAACAAAGAATGCAAGTTTTGTTTGGCATCCACAGAATTTAGGTTTTATGCTTCATTCTTTGGTATTTCCGTTTCAAAATAACACAAGAAAAAATGAATAATCAGGTGGTTTTTTTTAAATGAGGAAAAAAGGCTACATTTTTTCACTTTTTTTCATGCGGTCTTAAAAACAGCATGACAAAACGGTGTTTTTCAACCCTGGTCCTCGAGGCACACTGCCCTGCATGTTTTAGATGTTTCCCTGCTTCAACACAGCTAATTTCAGTTGATAACTAATTAACAGGCTTTTGTTGAGTTGCAGTCATCTGAATCAGGTGTGTTGAAGCAAACTTCTAAAACATGCAGGGCAGTGTGCCGTGAGGACCAGGGTTGGGAAACATTGCTTTGAGTCATGCATTTTTGATGTTCTTCTCATGGGTCACACAACATGCTGTGGTGGGCCACATTCGTCCCACAGGCCTCAATTGAGTCTGACACATGGGGTTTAGATGATAACAGCTGAGAAGGTAAAAATGTTGTGATGACAGAGGGGATGAAGGAGTGAAGAAAATGTGGATTTATTGCAATCAACTTCGTTCTTACAATATTTAACAATAATGTCAATAACATACAGCGGGTAAAATAAGTATTGAACACGTCAACATTTTCCTCAGTAAATATATTACTAGAGGTGCTAATGACATGAAATTTTCACCAGATGTTGGTAACAACCCAAGTGATCCATACATACAAAGAAATCAAACCATACATTTCCAGAAATGAAGTTATTTGTAATAATGTGGAATGGCACAGGGAAAAAGTATTGAACACACTTACTGAAATTTATCTAATACTTTGTACAAAAGCCTTTGTTGTCAATGACAGCTTCAAGACGCCTCCTGTATGGAGAAACTAGTGGCATGCATTGCTCAGGTGTGATTTTGGCCCATTCTTCCACACAAACAGTCTTCAAATCTTGAAGGTTTCGTGGACYTCTTCTATGAACTCTGATCTTTAGTTCTTTCATAGATTTTCTGTTGGATTTAGGTCAGGTGATTGGCTGGGCCATTCCAGCAGCTTTAGTTTCTTTCTCTGAAACCAACTGAGAGTTTCCTTGRCTTTGTGTTTGGGCTCATTGTCTTGCTGAAATGTCCAGCCACGTTTCATCTTCATCATCCTGGTAGATGGAAGCAGATTTTTATCAAGAATGTCTCTGTACATTTTTCCACTCATCCTTCCTTCAATTATTTGAAGTTTGCCAGTACCATATGCTGAAAAACAGCCCCACACCATGATGTTCCCACCTCAAACTTCACTGTTGGTATGGTGTTTTTGGGCTGATGTGCAGTGCCATTTGACCTCCAAACATGATGTGTATTCTGGCATCCAAACAGTTCAATGTTGGTCTCATCTGACCAGACTATATTCTCCCTGTATTACACAGGCTTGTTTAAATGTTGTGCAGCAAACTTTAAAGGAGCTTCAACATGCTGTTTCTTCAGCAGTGGAGTCTTGCATGATGAGCGTGCWTACAGGCCATGGTGGTTCAGTGCATTACTTATTGTTTTCTTTGAAACAAACATACCTGCTAATTCCAGGTCTTTCTGAAGCTCTCCACAAGTGGTCCTTGGCTCTTGGACAACTCTTCTGATAATTCTTTTCACTCCTCTGTCAGAAATCTTGTGAGGAGCACCTGGTCGTGGTCGGTTTATGGTGAAATAATGTTCTTTCCACTTCTGAATTATGACCCCAACAGTGCTCACTGGAACCTTCAGAAGTTTAGACATTCTTCTGTAACCGATGCCATCATTATGCTTTGCAACAATAAGGTTGTGAAGGTCTTGAGAGAGCTCTTTACTTTTACCCATCATCAGATGGTTCTTGTGTGATACCTGGCCATCATTTGGGACTGAACCAGCTGATACTAACTTGCACTGACAAGGGGCAGGCTTGCTTTCTAATTACTGAGAGAGTTCAGCTGGTGTCTTGGCTTTCCATGCCTTTTTACACCTCCCTTTCTTCATGTGTAATACTTTTTCCCTGTGCCATTCCACATTATTACAAATAACTTCATTTCTGGACWTTTATGGTTTGATTTCTTTGTATGTATGGATCACTTGGGTTGTTACCAACATCTGGTGAAAATTTCATGTCATTATACCTCTAGTAATATATTTACTGAGAAAAATGGTGACGTGTTCAATACTTATTTTACCTGCTGTATGTTTTTCTAAGATCCTTCAGAACTAGTTTTGACATTTACCTCTTTTCTTTAAATGCTAATTTATTTGAATAAAGTCTGCTGCTTTTTTATGATAACGGTCTAGAAACTGACAATATGGTGTTTACTGATATACATCATGTACAAGTACTTTTTGTACATGATTTAATTTGTCTTCTTCCCTCGCTTGCATTACTGCATTGCTGTTGACATTTACAGACAGCTAACATGTTACAGTGTATTTAAGACATCAAGAAAAAACTTGAAGCTTCATTGGTAAATTTGGAGATCACAAATGCTGCTCACAAAGAGTTTGAAATGTGCAACAGTAACACATAATGTGTTTTTAACAGGTTATTTTATCACGATGCCTCAGTTGTCACGTATATAACAGCAGTTATATTGCTCAATTTGCAGGAGAGGACCGTAACAATCAGAAGGCAGACCATTGGAGGGTTTGGTTTGAGCATTAAGGTAATTTCAATCSCATCTGTTCTTCTTTAACTAGAATTAGAACAAGTCTTATTGATCATTTCCATGTCAAACTGCATGAGCAGTGACAGCTATGAAACACCTGTCATTCAGTTTATTTTCCTTTGCATTTTTAGGGCGGAGCAGAGCACAAAATCCCTGTTGTGATATCAAAAATATCAAAGGAACAAAAAGGTACACCATCTTTTTTGGTAAGGTTTTATTTCGTGCCTCTAATGTGTATTTGCTGAAGTATTTTTCCTGTTTTGCTTGTCTCCAGCTGAACTCTCTGGGTTGCTTTTCATTGGAGACGGCATCCTTCAGGTAAAATGTCACAATAATGTTTCCTCCTTTCATTCTGCAACCTAAATAAATAAATAAAGAAACAGCACCCCGGATTTTTAATAATTCATGTGCCACGTATCCCTGAAACTATGTGGAATAATTACTCATCCCCATAGGGAAAATCACTTTTATAAATTGCATGTTCCAGCCAAATGAGAAGAAAAATTGCACAAGAAAGAGAAAAAAAGTCACACCTCCCACATAATAACTGTGCATGTGACATTCTTATTTACACTTTCCCGCACAGATGCCACAACAGTTATTATGCTTGTCTCATTAATCATTTTGGAGTTGGGAGTTTTGGGCCTATGATGCCAGAATTKTAATCTGGAGTACCTGTTGTTACTGTTGTTTCCAGATAAATGGAATAAACGTCAGGAGCTATCGCCACGAGGAAGTGGTAAGCTGTCAGCTCAGATCTCCCGGTTTCTTACGATGCAACAACTCTTTCAACAGCTTATCTTGTCTTCGATGATGATTTGAATCTTGCTGACACGTAAAGCCAATTTTTTCCCTCTTTTATCTCCTCTTAAGTGCAAAACTGTAAGAATTTTATGTAAGTAGGATAATACTTGCTGCCTGTTGAAATCCCATATCTTTGATTTTTCATTCTTAGCTTAGATGCTGGTGCGCCATGTTTCATCCCAGCTACTAATCCGAAAAAAAAAAATACATCGTTTGAAACTTCACTATTAAAACAAATCATGTTTACAACTTTCAGGTCCAGGTTCTAAGGAACGCGGGAGAAGAAGTGACTCTCACAGTGTCGTTCTTAAAGAAGACCCCAGCCTTTTTGAAGCTGCCGCTGTGCGAGGACTGCACATGTGAGAACCCTCCCCCCACCCCCCATACATCCCCAGTATCTGGTCTAAGTGCATCACTGCCACAGCAGTGGAAAGTAATTAACTGGGATTATTTTTAGCTGGTGTTATTTTCCGACTAGAAGCGGTTGTCTTGGAAACAATAATCTCAAACCACTTTCAAAAAAWTTTTTTTTGAAGAAAAACAGATAAATTCTGTTGTGTTGTTTGGTTTTCTTTTTGAGCTCTAGAGAAAGACGCCACAAAAAGAAAAAAAAACAAGTAGTGAGTCATATCTTGAGAAAGGTGTTATAAACTAAAGTGAAAGAATAGATGTGTTGCACATTGTGCTGCGATTGATTTCTATCTCATGAGAGAGCTTCAGTCCGTCATCAGACATGAAAGCTTTTGTAAAATCTTTTCATTAGCGTATGTAGGCCAGGTTGACTGGCCGTTCAGTCAGTCAGCTGAATATAAATCAGCGTAAAGCCGGAGTTGGAGCAGAACAAAGTCAAACTACTTTTGTTGATGAAACAAATGGAAGCGTTGCTCTGAGTTGAATTTTTTTTCGCCTTCACCTCCAGGTATCCCCAGCGATCAGAGCAGCGGGACTTCGTCTCCTCTCTGTGACAGCGGCCTGCACCTAAACTACCATCCCAACAACACGGTACTGTTCGTTAGCCTCTCCTGTKACTGACTCTATAAACGTCCTTCAGTATCCATGCAGTAGCATTCTCAGTGCCGGCGACTTGTTTCCGTGCAGCTGACGCGGCTCTCTGATAACCGGCGATGCTCTATCTTTGCCATTTGAAAAAGGGTGAATCAGGCTGTAATCTGCCGCCTGTGCTCCCTCTTTGCCTTTTTTCTGTGTGCGGCTGCCGTGGCAGCAGAGCTCAGGCTCTTGACATGCGCGCCGTTTGAAATGTTATCTGTGTCTTGCAGGACACGCTGTCCTGCTCGTCCTGGCCCACGTCTCCGGGGCTTCGCTGGGAGAAGAGATGGGTGGACCTGCGCCTCATCCCGCTGCTGCACTCTCGCCTGTCGCAGTACATACCCGGCTCTGACGTCTGCAGGTGAGCTACGGGCCGGCATTAAAAAAGTGTCACTCGCAGACCTGTTCTCTCCCTTTAAGGCTTGGTTTTAATGGTTGTGCTGAGATGACTTCCTTGGGGATTTTGAAATAGAGCTCAGTCCCAAAGTAGGTCATGTGTTTTGCTTTTTTAACCTCTTCCCCGCTCACTGTCATGAAAGGTGGCCAATAATGTGTGTTTGTTTGTGTGTCTGAACAAAATATATCATGAATCAGAAAGAACACTTTACAGAAATTTTCAGAAATTAATCACTGGATGTAGATCTACACATAATTAACTTTTAAACCCAACCTGATTCAAGATGGCTGCCACATCTGTTGACCTTAGCAGACACTTAAATGACCATAACCCAGTCATAGTTACAGACAATGAGCTGAAATCTGCTGTTGTAGTAGCTGTCACGGCTCCTCCTCAGTGGACCTTGAGTAATGGGAAGCACCTGGGTGCAGTGATATAATCAGTGCTCCACTAACCATTTCTCTCTCTGCTCCTCCAGGTAACTCCTTGGTTATTTTTTTTTGTTCTAGGTTGAATTTTGGGTTTATTTAGATTTATTTTGACAGTAAAACTGTTTTAGTTGGCCTTTACCTTGTCTCCCCACATTTTTGTTATGGGCCATTGGCTGGCCTGTGACATATGGGGGCTCGTCCRGGATTTGAACCTGGGACCTCTCAGCCGAGAGTCATCCCTAATACATACTCTGAGCACTAATATGTTGCATGAGGGCCTTGTCTAAAGATTGGACATTAGAAGTTGGGGTCAACCCTGGTTTTCTGTTGGTAAAATAACTCATGAACTGGAAGACAGATTTTAGTGAAACTCTCAGGAAGTAATAGTTGGATGTGGTTCTACAGCTGATTAACTTTTGGAGTCAACTTGATGCAAGACGGCCTCCATAGCGTATTGATCTTAGCATACACAAAAATGGTTCCCACATCATCAATTTTACTGATATTCAGCTAAAGAGAGTTATCACCAGCATACACTCTGAGGTCTGACAGGTCACATTGTTTTTGTTTAAAATGTTGGCATCCAGTCATTAAGTGAAACTTTTGAGAATTATATTAACACAAACTGAAGAATCAAACAAAATTATCATAACATTTATACCTGTGTGGAATATTTCTTCTGTGTATATTCTCAGTTTATTGAGTCAGTAAAATATGGCAAAGCCTATTGCAATTATGATGTTTTCAAATTGTTGCAGGTTTTGCAAATATTTAAGCATTAAGTTCGTTATCAGCTTAGTWGTAAATATATTTTTCTGAAGCCTCATTTGCCACTTTATTTAAAAATTTGATGATACATAATCAGTGTTAAATAATAAGGATTAATGACATATTTATTCACTTCTTATTTGTTTTTTTTCCCATTAAAAGCCAATATGAGGATCATAACAYTTTTATTTGATCCTGGTGAGCTTTATTTGCATTAGAACCAATTTACCAAATTGTGCATAATATACTTTACTCATTAGACAGCCATTAAACRTAATTATAATTTTTTAACACACTTGATCTTATGGATTGGATGTTAATGGATTTCATTCATGGTGTGGCCTGATTTAGTCCATTAACTGAAAACTGGAGAGGAGTATTGTAAAAGTTTGGGGCATTTATGAAGCATGTTACAAGCCCAGCTTTTAGTTTTATGTTGCAGCTAAACGATGGTTTCCAGACTTTAACCACAGTTTGTTTTATTGTGATACTTTTGATTACACTATTGGTAGCACAGGCTGTTAAAAAAAAGGTTTCAGATGATGAATGGGTGTAAAATCTCAGTTAGGACATCCCTTTAGGTTTAAATGATCAAAAACAAGTTTTAGTCTTTGGTTTTTCCTGCCTCCAGTGTCAAGTGGTAAACAAAGTGAAAAAGCTTGTATATCATTGCTTATTGTTTAGAGAGTTTGAGGACTTAATCTTGCATTTGGTCATTATGTACCAGAGATCCTCTGTCAGTCAGGCTGCACAAAACAGTAGAAATGTTGTAATGCTTGTAAATGCCTCTTGAAAGGCTGAAAATAGACTTGAATGTGTTATTGCTGGATTAACTGACAATGACATAATATTTCATAATATATTTGGTTTGTATAATAAATTAAATTTTGTTAAGACATTTCTGCTCAGTTTTTGTGCTCTGTTTGTTTTGTAGTCCAGGCTTTTGCACAGTTGAAAATAAATGCTATATTGAATACCAGCAGTATACACACTCCTAAATCTTTTGTCAGTCATAAACATATTTTTAATAAGTTAGATTTTATTTTTGCTACACTTATTGAGAATTGTTTGACTACTCAAAGCAATGCTGAAAGAAACATCTGAGAACAGACATTGTTTGGTTCCATTATTGCCTGTGTGGATTATTAAACTGGATTACTGAGATGATAAAACAGGTCATGAAATCTGTGCAGCTCTGTTAGGAGCTGGTAAAACTTTTGTTGGTCTTCAATAAATCAGGTGGATTCAGTATTTGATTTTTTTAACTGAAAAGAAGCAAAAGGAGCACAAGTTATGCTCATAAGCACTCTTTTTGCCTTTTGAATTGTAATTTTTCCGCAATGAATACATTACATTTTTAGTGCCTAACCTTTTTTGTCAGCCGATTAATTTTAATTGAATTACCAGAGGGCTGTTTTTTTTAATCTAAAAGCTCTCAGTTGTCATTTTAGTTTTTAATAAAAATCTGAAGAGGTAAATAAATGAAATAAAATTGTTAATTAATAATTGTCATCCGAGAACATGTACACACAAAGAAAAAGTCTGTAGATGAGGCATGGTTGAGACATTTAAACATGACATTTTCTCCTAGTTCACTGACTTGTTGAGTACTAATCTGTGTCTCCTAAAAAAAAAAGCTCATTACAATGTTTGGCTTTAAAGGTCTACAGAACAAGTGGATGAGCTTCATATTAGACCTGATGAAAGCAGATGCTGTAAAATGTTTTTGCCCATCTGACAAGAAGATAAAAAAGTCCTGGTTTAATGACTTGTGGTTCTGTTTTGATACTGTTTTGTAGATATAGTCCTGGTTTTTGTGTAGTTTGCTTTRTTTATTTTACCCGGTTATATGTGAGTTTCTGTCCATCTTTATTTCCTGTTTTATTTTGAAAAGCCCGTTCCTACAGTCAGTTTGGCCTAGCTTCCTCCACACACCTGGTCCTAATCAGTTAATCAGTGCACCTGTCTTGGCTGTAGTCCTTTCCTGTCTTGGTACATTTAGGTCCTTTTTTCACTGCCAGATCTGCTGTTTGTTCTCCCAGACCACTTTCAGCCTTGTCAGTTCTGGTTTCTGCTTCGCTCCGTTCGCTCTACTTCTTTACCTACCTGAGTTTGTAGTGTTTCTTTGTTTTTTCCTTTATTTAATGAAGTTGGTTTTCCTACCCCACACCTGCCTGCCTGCGTTCCTCTGACCTTCAGGTTCTGCGTTTTTGCTTTTTCTACGTACCTCGTGAACTGAGACTGATTGCATTGTTTACTCCGCTGACAAATGGTGATAAAATAGCTCTTCCACCACAATCAAGCAAGCTGCCAAACGCACTTCTTCCAGAAAGTGCAACTACTGCTTTAACATGGCGTCAATTTTCCAAAGAACCACCGAGACACAATTAAAATGTTTAAAACTGTTGCTAATAACACAATATTGACTTGAGGGAATGTGATGCTTAGTGTTTTAAAGAAGGGACTCTTTAATGGGACTCTGTTGGAGCTGTGCAGAAAGATTTAGGAGCCAGTATCTTCCAGCTGTCGGTTGTTTTTGCACTTTAGGGCAATTTTAGTGTCACTTTTAAGATCCATTTTTTTTTTTTTTGTTATTGCCCATCACCACAGGCAAGAGGGCCATGTTGTTTTGTTTTTGTTGCCTTTTTTGGCTGTTTTGTTGAGTGGGGTGTTTGTCATGTTAGTAAAATATCTCATGAATCACCTGATAAATTTTGCTGAAAAGTAATCKTGAAATGTACATTTAACTAATTCACTTTTAAAGCTACTCTGTCAGTTTTACAGATAATCAGCTAAAATTTAGTGTGGTAGTAAAACCCACAGTATCACCCTGAGATCAAGCAAATTGGTTTAGAATTTAGAAACTTTGGGAATATTTGTTGGGTTTAATCCTGTCTGTTCGCAACATATCTTATGAACCAATAAACACATTATAAACTGTTTAGAAATTCCCTTTTGATTGCGCAAAAAATAAATGCACAAAACTGCTGAAAAGTATTTGAAAATGTATTTTGTTGACTTCCTGACAGGCTTAAAAGCACAAATTTGTGGTAATTGGTGTTTAAAAAATCACCTAGTGTTGTTTCTCTTTTTAAACTCTTTCAGGAAAAATGCTTTCCAGGTCGTAGCCGTGGAYGGAGTTTGCAGCGGAGTCATACAGTTTCCCACAGCCGAAGATTGCTTGGACTGGCTTCAGGCAATAGCGAGCAACATTTCCGGTCTTACCAAGCACAATGTGAGTACAAACAACAACATCTACTACTCTCAGTTCCACAAATAAATCTGTACGACGGTGAGCCGGTTGTCACTTGCAGTTTTGTTGATTGCCTTAACTTTATATTTGCCGACGTCTCAATTTAAGTTTCGTCTCATAACGTGTCTTCACACTCATTTCCAAGTTTGAGATTACAAGAACAACAATCACACAACCTCAGTGGGCTGATATTACGCAGTCATCATACATTAGAATGTGACACCCTGACGCAGGAAATAACAAAGCTAGGTTGTTTCACTTATTTTGTGAGTACGTATTTGCAGTTTTCTCGCTGTTGATGTGGAGAAAAGCTTTGAAGATGAGCTGTGACACTCAGCAGGGCTATTGAATACAAAACAAATGCTAACAAGGTCTATCGGTGACCATGGCTCAAATAGAACCTCAGCAACAAAAAAGGCTCTCATTTGACTCCCCATTTACTCTGTTTCTGTGCAGGTTTTAAAAGAAAGGAAGAAAAATGAATCCTCAGAGTAAAATGATGTAAACAGGTTTTTGTGTTGCTTCTTCTTGGGACCTGAATGTGGCAGGGAAAAAAAAAGGAGGATTTGTAATTATCATGTGGCGTGAAAGTGGYCGTGGTAGTGAGTGTCTGGGGAGGAATAATGGAGCCCCGGTTAATTGGAGAGGACTAACATGAAACATAACACTGATGACTCACAGCCAGGACAGCCTCAGCAGTTGGAAATGTGTTTCTCACTCTGGCCTTGGCATTTAGTGAGGTGTGCGAGGGACGTTGGACGGATGATAGATGTGCAGATCTCTGCTCAGCCTCTGATTGTTTCACAGGGATTTGATGAATGAAACGAATGAGTCTTTGTTTTAACTTTAGGTGCATCGACTTTAGTTTTACTGCATCGTTCGTCTAAATTTGATTTGATTCTATTTTCAATACGTTACTGCAACAAACGGGGCTTTTGGGAGAAAGAAACGTTTTATTGATTATGGTGCAGTTCTGCCTGAATGTCAAAAGATTTCCAGAGAAAAATAATAGAAAACAAGAAAAGGTGTTTCAAGTATAGTTCTTGGAGAGTTGTTGAGAATCACTGTCAAATGCTACCACACCAAGTCTTAGTTCAATAGATGTTAGATTTAATAAGGTACAGCCTTTTTTGTGTTGGTTATCAGCTGTGACGGCCATCTTGAATTGGATTGACCTCAAAAGTTAATCAGTTATAGATCATTACTAGGTACATGTAGTAATTAGTTTCTAAGTGTTTCMATAAAACTTGTCTAGGGGTTCATTTTGCTAATAAACGAGGTTGATTCTGACACAGAGGTGTCAAACTAATTTTCACCGAGGRTTACATGAAGCGTCATGGTAGGCCRGTTGTAATTAACGTTGATGATTCATGTTTAACTTCAGCTACACACAAAGCATCATGTTCCTCGACTTTCTCCTATGGCTGAGCACCGCTAACAAACAATAGCTGAGCTCTACGTGCTATTTTGTGCATATAAACAGTGTTTAAACGTGACGTCTYATAAACACTGAAAAGTACTATGTAGGACTGACTAAATGTGAAAAATAAGTAWTACAGAAATACTATYAAAAGTAAAAATACGGGAGTTTTGCTCACTGTTGWGTTGTGGCGAGTAGCTGCCATCTWGAATCCTGAACTCTCCCACMTGCYRACAGAGAATTYCYACTGGTTTAAATTTACAACTTGTAAGTGGAAAATTCCCACTTCCCAACGGGGCCGTAGCAAAATTGCCAAATATAAAAACTAAATGCAGATAAGTGGAGATTTTACACAGCAAATTTCTCCAGCTGCTAGMTAATTTTGAACCCTGTGCACCTCCACCTAGTGGTGGGATGCTGTCATTTCACGGGTAAAACAAACATGCATTATGGGAAATGTAGTTCATGGTCAATGTTGGGTTTGAAGCAGTTTATTTTAAGACATCAATACGTCTTTGAAGCTCTCGCAGGACTCATAAAATGCCATGGCGGGTCACATTTGACCTACGGGGCTTGAGTTTGACACATACAGCGGGTAAAATAATTATTGAACACGTCACCATTTTTCTCAGTAAATATATTACTAGAGGTGCTAATGACATGAAATTTTCACCAGATGTCGGTAACAACCCAAGTGATCCATACATACAAAGAAATCAAACCATAAATGTCCAGAAATGAAGTTATTTGTAATAATGTGGAATGGCACAGGGAAAAAGTATTGAACACACGAAGAAAGGGAGGTGTAAGCCAAGACACCAGCTGAACTC